GAAACCGATAATATTTGGAGAACATGAGTTAGTTCGTGGTTATTATTGGGATTTATTTTGAGTAAAATAAAGGAGATGCTTTCTTCATAAGCCCAACGAAAACTTTATATATTAAAAAAAAAAGTAGCTTTTTTCGCTTTTCTTATCTGAAACTATAATAATATGAAAGAACCGAAAAATAAAAAATAAAAAAATAAAAAACTTTGCCAGTTCACTGAAAAGCACCAGCCTGGCAGTATATGGAACCCCAACCACAAGTGTCAAGAGACGAATGGGCCCAGACAAGATCGGGCCCGATCCTGAATGTATAAATTCCAATTGGGCTATTCTGATCCACTCGATCTTATATTCCTTAAATCTAGTGGGTTTCGGCTCTCAGTTCGCTGAACTTATTAATATACAATTAGTACGTAGCTAGTACGATACACCGGGACGATAATTATAGCAGTATGTATTAAAACAATGAAGAAATATTGATTAGTATAAAATTAGTTTTAAATATTAATAATTATGTTTATATTTAAGGATAATACAATTTAACTTATTCAAATATCATCAATAAATAATACTCGCATAATACTTCTCTCCCTTTATCGTCTATTACACATACCTTGTGGCAATATATCATTTCGATTTGTAAATAGGATAAAGTTGAAAAATTGTGACAAATATTATAACCAACACTTAACTCAAGAAGATTGTAATATATTATTTTAAAGTTAAAATTATATTAGTTTTTAATTATATCAATATTATTTTATTTTATCTTATAATTTATAGTATTATAAATATTTTATTTTTTCTTTCTAATTTTTTATATGTGAATCGCAATATTAATTTGTAAAATATTGGTTTGGTGCAGTTATTGGTAGAATCAAATGATGTTTTTGAACTCCTCAAATAGATGATTTTTGGTATAGGGATCTTCACGAAATGAATAGAAAATCGTACAGATTTGTTATTAATGTTGAGATATCATTTTCATTATAGTATAGTGGTAGTTATATCAATCAAATTTTTACAATTGATTTCTAGTTTATTTTGCAATTGATTTCTAATTTATTTTGCAATGTTCTCACGCATATTTCGGTCTACATATATCTGATAGCTAACAAAACAAGAGAACGCATGAATTGCTGTTAAGGATAAAGATTGGTTTGTTATTAAAGATAAATAGTTCAATTATTTATTTTTTTTATTTGAGTTTATAATTTTTTAGAAACTTAAACGGTTGAGCTAATGATAAATCAAATAATTCTAAACTAATCCTCTCGATTAAATAATTTTTTGAAGATACGATAAAAATTATTTTGGTATATTGTTGGTTACCAAATGAATAACAAATCACCTTGATTTGTTGTTAATGTTGATAAATAAGATTCAATTGTAACATTGTGATAATAGCATAATAAAATTACCATAATTGATTTTAAGTGAAATAGTAAAATTACCATTAAGCATTTATGCTAATATATATAAGGAATATTTTAGTAACTTCACATATATCTCGAGCCGTTCGACAATGCAAAATATATGGGCTCGAACACGACTCGAGTTCGGTCAAACTCAAGCTCGAATCGAACTTTGACTTGAGCGGCTAGCAAGCTACTCGGTTCGTTTGCAGCCATAACGTTAAATGATTTATGGCCTGCTGTATGTTGGAATCTTATCTTAAATATGCGCCTTGTCTGTTAAATATCATTTTTGACCAAATTGAGGTTGAATTAGAGGTTGACCCGTAATAACCTGTAGTTTTACTGTATTGTAAGTAGTTTGAACTTTAAAGTAGTGTTTTGGATTCAAAAAGTCAACTTCAAAAACGCTGTGTAGCTTTTTGGAACATAATATTGCAATTTAAATATTTTTATATATCAAACAATTAATTATGAAAAAGATAATTATTTTAGGCCTGGTAGGTAAGTTATTTCATAAGTTCATAGTACGTAGGTTTCTATGGAGTAAAATGACCATCAGTCTATTGTTTGAAGGAGTTGAGGTTTGATTGAAATAAATATTGATAGTTTTTTCTTGTTTCTCTCAATCGTTTATGTTTGCCCTATATCAACAACTAACTCATAATAGTATGATTAATAAATTGAGTTGAAGATCTATTTGATTATTGATAAGGTTTTAGTTTATAAGTAAATTTAAAATTTATACTTGATGACTAAAAAGTTGTCTGATATAGTAAAAGCATTTGGTATACTTACTTGATAAGTTATATAAAATAAAAGTTACAATGTGCTTCTTTAGAAAACTACTAAACAAGTTTATGGAATAAACTCAAACAAAAAAAAAAAAAAGTTAATCTTACCAAATCAAATTTAATTCAATACCGAAAAAAAAACTAATTTATCTTGCTTATCGAACACAATATATATTAATTACATATACTTTATAGGTACCTAATTTCGATGAAAATAAACACACATGTGTACATGTGTGCCATCGAAAGTATTCTTTTTTATGGCATTTGATTTATTAGATAAAATGAGTTAATCTAAAAAAAATAGAGATTTGGGTTGAATTTTGAGTTTGTAGTCGGACATGAGTTAAAATGTAATGGTTCAAGTTGATGTTACGGAGGTGAGAAATGATTTACAGTTAAAAATATGTGAGATGAACAGAAATTATTATTAAGAAATATGTGATAATGATTGATTGATACTATTTAATTATATTAATGCAAGTTAAGTTGAATTAAATCTGAATTTGATTTTAAATTAAAAATGTAGCCAATCATAATTAAGACGAAAAAAAAATTATCCAATTGATCAAAACAAAAACTGAATTGTTTCCACGGTGAATTTTGTAGTTAGATTGGGCTATCAATGTAAACTCGACACGGTGACCCAAGAAGACCCATTCAAATTAACTTGTTTAAGCCCAATTGTAAAGTTCATAGACTGACATCGAGGGTCATGATTAAATCCAAACACAGATTAAAAAAACACTCAAATCAGTCCATATTCATTCGGCCGAAAAATTGCCCTAAAATCTACCTCCGCCGCCGACCTCCGCCTCCACTTCCATCCACTCCCCGTCTCCGGCATCTCCACTCCCTATCTCCGACCACGAGTCGAAGCTCTAAGTTCGGCTGCTAATTTTCCCTTCGAAGCTCGAAGCTGAGCTGGCGATTTTCCGGTTGGAGCTCGACGACGAGTCGAAGATCCTCAGTCCGCAGTCCTCATAAGTTAGAATCGAACCTCTATTTGGCATTATTGAAGACGTAAATTTGTATCCCGATTTCGTGATAAGAATGTCAGACAGAGAAATGGAAAGCGACTCGGATGCCCCTGAGGTGTTTTCCGTCCGGCAGGTTCATTCACTCTTCGGCCTATCTTTTTTCATTTTATGTATGCGTATTGTAACTCTTGAATTAAGTTCTTTTTCATATAAATTTTCCTCATTTTTTTTCCAGGGGATGCAACAAGATGAAGAGATACGGAAAGTGCAAAGAGAAAATAAGGCTAGGTAATTTTTTTTTTATTCTGTGTATATCGTTATTGAGAAAATGTGCAAAGTTTGTGCTTTTATCATTATCTATCTAGTTAGCATTAAGCGTTTTTCGCTATTTATTGCTTCATTATTATTTAAATACGGTTTTGTAGTAGGACTGTAGGAATGTGAACTTATAGATTGGTATATGCTAGTAAAAAGGAAAGGGTAAATTTTGTCAGCATATTATAACAATGAGGCATATGTGCACCCCATTTTTCTCTAATGCTTTTTTTGTTACTGAGATCATATAAGGAGCTCTCTGAAAGATAATTTGAGAACATATCTCTGTTATGGCCTTAAATATGAATCAATATAGATTCTCCCTTAACCTTTCCTGCTTGTATTCATATGCTAACTGCTGATAATGAGGAAAAAAAAAAAACTTTTTTTAGGGTAGTGCGTGAGGTAAAAGAACGTCGCAGAAAATGGGCAAATAATTTGACTCCAAAGCCTTTGCCCAAAGGAAGAAGCACCAAAGATGAAACTGAATCCAAAACTGAAACAAATGAGGACTCTCAGGGCAACAATGGAATGCTGCCGGATGACATTGTGAAACTTCTTGCGGCCCGTGAAAAGTATCTCTCCTTGGCCTTTTTTTTTTTTAAGTTCTATCATGGTGATATACGCTTGAGCCTGAGGCAACTTTTATTTTATATGTTTTTTTTTCCTGTCTGCTGCAGGATAGTCTTCACATCCGATTCTGAGGATGAGAAAGTTGAGAAAAAGGGCACCTCAAAAAAGCGAAAGCTGAAAAGATCCGGGTTAGTTAGTCCATTTATCTCTTCACATTTTAGATTATAATTTTGCACATAAAATTATTTGGCTAAACTGCATTCTTAGCCATCGCAATTTTAGTCCAAAATTCTAACATTACGCCTTTTGGTCCTGTAATTTAATAATTTATACTGAAATTGCAACAATTTCCCAATTTATATCTTTGGGCTGGAATTTGTATTAGCAATTTAAGTCCTGTAATTTAAACTTTTGTTGCAATTTCAGTCCTCAAAAAGAACTGAAATTGCAGCAAAATATTAAATCACATGACCAAGAAGCGAAAAGTTAGAACTTTGAGACTAAAATTGCTATGTCGTTAAACCAACAAGACTAAAAATGCATTTTTGCCAAATTATTTTGTATGATAAAGTCAAGATCTATACTTATTACCCTTCTCTCGCTCGGCAGGTTGGAACCTGTTATCTTGAAGGAGATACCGTCTGCTCAATGTGTACAGAGTTCATTGGAATTTTTGAACAAACAAAGAATGAGGGTCCCGAGATCCTCTGCAGTTTTGAACAACTCAAATCAAGCTTTGCGCCTCCTATCGAAATCTGGCTTGTTAAAGTAGAAGTGATGGAAATCCTAATCATGGTACCTTTTAAAATTATTCGCAGTTTTGGGGACTTAGACATCGAAACCACTACTTTGATTTGATGTTAGTTATTACCTGTTAACTTACGCACTATAAGAATTTGAATTCATATATATCTTACATTTGTGTCCTGCAAAAAATCATACATGGATTGCTTGTTATATATTTGCACTCAGGATAGCTATGCAGCTGATTTTGAATCTTGATTGATTAGATAACATTGATAGAGCTGATTCTGAATCTTGATTGATTAAGATAAAATTGATAGTTATACGCGACTTGTCTTAGTAAAAAGTTTTGCTTATGGGTTCAGTAACTAATTGTTAATGTACTTCTATCATTCTATGTAACCTTGTTTTGCATCACTGATGTGCTGATCAATAAAATAATATTTCATTTCGACAGAAATAAAATAAAATGAAATGTTGATGCAAACATTTTTTGGCATAAAGATAGTGTATAGGATTTTTTTTAACACCAAAAGAAGTGAGTATGAGGCTTTTTAGTAAAAATATATCACCTTTTAGCTTTTGCAAATGCCAACTTTTGTTTTGCTTTTTAATTTTGCTTTGTTTATTCAAAATTGAATGCATTGGGTGGGTTTTTTCATCTTTTGATTCTCCCTACTAAATCATTTTTCAGCTTATTACCATTATTGCTCCCAACTGTTAATCTCACGAGTCTAAGCATCCCTTATTCTTTTGTTCAATGATTATAGCATTTAGCAACAACCAACATACCAAATGATAATGTTAATCCCAAAATTTAGTCCTTCCAAAAATAACAGAATGTCTTCAATTTTGATTTGTAATAATGCTAAAAAATTAAAAAATTCAAAAAGTACAATCACCAGTATATGTCATCATTTTTTTTATAATCAAAAACCTCTGGAAATCTTGAACTTGAAAATAACTCTAGATATTTTCCAAGGATGCCATAAATTCGATTCATTCCAAAATTTTCCACGGATTCGTGTACCAGAAGTATTTTTTTGGATTTTGGCATAAAATGTTCTGTGAAATTCTCTTTGGTTCATTTTGAGTTTTTTTTTTTATTATTATTTTTATTTATGGATTGTTTCCAATATGATCTACTCATGAAAGGATTATATTTTTTTACAAAGTATTCTTTTGTATATAAGGGTTTTTACATAATCGAGTCCTTGTTTCGACTATATTTAAAGGTCTAGATTTTTCGTCTAGCTCTTTAATTCTATATAGCAAAGAAAAGTATCATAAAAAAAATTCAGAGTTGTTTTGTAAATATTGCCATCAATAACTAATGTAAAGCCATAGGTCCTATAAATGCGACCCTCTACAAGATAAAAAAATTGTTGAAATTGTGGACCAAACATGAAATGGCAGAAGCATGGATGCAGTCGCACTAATAAAAAAAAACGAGAAATGCTATGGAGCCAATCACCAATGTTGCAGTCACACTAAAAAAAACATTTAGATACAAAAACTTAGAAAAAGAATTAAAAAAAAAAACCAAAAGAAATAAAGTATCATTTTACTTGTGTCAACATTTTGGAAAAAATATTCAAGGCTTGCTGTTTTGTACTGTATTACCAGAAGTGGTTCAGCAGAACTTATAGCCAAAGAAACAAGTAAATTGTTCAAGGCCACACTCAGCCATAATGATAAAACCCGAAAACGCCTAAATTGTTCAAACGGCCAAATACTTCTTTCATCAAACCATCGANTTATGATATGAAATTCTTATGATATGAAATGTTATACTTTTGGATCAACTGTTGAGCACCTAACAACAAACTTACTATCAAACGATACTTCAAGTTGGATCAAAAAACTTCTATTCACACAAAAAACACAAGTCTGAGAAAAATGCATCACTGTCTTTTTCTTATTGGATTGCATAAAAACACCAATGAGGGCATCCCAAAACACAGAGGAAAATGATAAGAAACAAAAGAACACATAGGAAAAAGATCATGTGATGAATGAAGGATAAAAATGTGTACCATATAAGTAAACAAATTCAATAAACCACAATAATCAGAATATATAGTAGTAGAGCTTCACAAATCACAAGAATACTAAAAGTCAACTGTCAATAAAAAGTATACTAAAAATCTACCATAGAATTCAATTCAAGATACAACAATCATCAAAATAAAGTAGAAATGCGTCAAAGTTACTTAAAATTACTAGCAATTTGTGTTGTTAAGTTAAACGAGCCTAGCTCGGCTCGTTAAAGCTCGAGTTCAGCTTGGCTCAATAAGACTGGAAAAAGAATTTTTATATAATTTTTTTATTGTTCGGTTCGAACTCGGCTCGTTGTGAGTGGTAAACGAGCTCGATCTCAATTTGAGGCCAAGGCTCAAGCTCAATCTGGAGCACCCTAAGGTCAGCTTAGCTGCAATCGGATGAAAAAGTG